ACAGGAAGCAAATATCCATTCTCCTCTTCATATTTATACCAGTGTGGATGGTTTGGCTTTAAAAATGAAATAAAATGAGACAGTAAGTAAGGCCCTGTCTATGCTAAGGAAATTGACTCCTATGCAAACCCTTAATGTAGACAGGCCTCCACTGCTGCAGTGCAACTTTACCTTGGTTCAGCCTGCTACAAAGTGTTTTAGTCAGAAAATCCCCAAGAATAAAGATCAAATATTTCTCTTGGATGCAGGCATACAACTTTGATTGAAGCCGGTGGGAGTTGCAAACATTTAGGGAAGATCTACACTACGGGGTTAAGTCAACCTATGTTATACAACTCACGCTATGTGAATAATATAGCTGGAGTCGATGTAGCTTAGGTTGACTTATTGCAGCATATGCACTGTGCTGGGTCGATGGGAGAGTTGACTTACCTTATGCTTCTCGTTCTGGTGGAGTACCAGAGTCGACGAGAGTGATCTGAGGTTGATTTAGCGGGTCTTTGTTGCAGCACTGATCCACAGTATGTGTAGATATACCCTTAGTGAGTGACAGAATTTTGAGGCTGTTAACTTGTCCAGCATTGCTAGTGTACTCCCGTAAATAGAAATTTCAACAGTTAACAAGCACCATCTGAAGAAGGTTTTATTGCCTTTGCTCATTATTGGATATAAGTGTAGACTTGATGGACGGTCAAGACACCGATCAGTATATAACATGCTCCCTTCAGTTTTTAACTCCTTTGTTCCATTTGTAGCCTATATGTCACCGGACACCATCTACAATAAAGGGTCATTAGGCAGTAGACAGATTAGCAACATTGATTCTGAATTCCATATTGTTAGTCAAACATTTGAGGTTATTTGAATGTAGGTATACATGCAATGGTACTTTCACTCCCATGTTAAAGAATGTATTCTGTGAGTTGAGAGTGGTGAAGTTGATTGTAAAATGGAATGTTAGATCACAAATGTGATTTGTGTCCAGTTCATTTTGCTGTTGGCATTACAAGAAATATATGCTTCAAATGAAGCTGGAGTTTGAGATTTGAGAGATACTGGAGACTAGTGTCAGTTTAAAAGTTCTGAATTATGTTAACTTCTTAGTGAATGCTCTATAATGATTCCACAGGATTGTAACTGATGCTGGCTGAAGCCTCGTGAAACATACTTTACAGGGAGATTTTTCTTTGTTTAAAACAGGGGTCGGCAACCTTTCAGAAGTGGTGTGCCGAGTCTTCATTTATTCACTTTAATTTAAGGTTTCGCGTGCCAGTAATACATTAACTTTTTTAGAAGGTCTCTTTCTATGAGTCTATATATTATATAACTAAACTATTGTCGTATGTAAGTAAACAAGGTTTTCAAAATGTTTAAGAAGCTTCATTTAAAATTAAATTAAAATGCTGATCTTATGCTGCTGGCCCGCTCAGCCCGCTGCCAGCCTGGGGTTCCGTTCACCTAAGCCGGCAGCAGGCTGAGCGGGGTCTGCAGCCGGGCCGGGACCGGTGGCCGGGGACGGGGGGACGGGGGGATGGGGCCCGGTGGCCCGGGGACGGGGGACGGCGGGCCGGGGACGGCGGCCGGGCCGCTGCCACTCAGCCCAATGTTGGTCTGGGGTTCAGTCTGCCGGCTCCTGCCAGCCAGGGTTCCGGCTGCTGTCCCCGCTCAGCCTGCTGCCAGTTTGGGATCCCGGCCCTGCCCACACAGAGTGGGTACCTACCTTCTCCCTGATTCTAGCCCAGTCTCTTCCTCTCTCTCTGCACTGAGCTGAGGATGGAAGCGCACTGAGCACAGGGCTGGAGGTAAAGGAGCAGGCTGGGGGTTAGGGTGCAGGGTGTGGGGAGGGAGGTGCGGGGGTCAGGGCGGAGGGCTGGGGGTGTGTGGGGAGGGAGGTGCGGGGGTCAGGGCGGAGGGCTGGGGGTGTGTGGGGAGGGAGGTGCGGGGGTCAGGGCGGAGGGCTGGGGGTGTGTGTGTGAGGGGGGGAGGTGCGGGGGTCAGGGCGGAGGGCTGGGGGTGTGTGTGTGGGGGGAGGTGAGGGGGTCAGGGCGGAGGGCTGCGGGGGTGTGTGGGGGGGGAGGTGCGGGGGTCGGGGGTGTGGGCTGGGGTCGTCGGGGTGCTCACAGCCCCCTGTCCAGAGCGGCTCACAGCAGGGGCCTGGAGGGGATATACCCTGACTCCACTCCCCACTCCCGCCCCCGCTTCCTCCTCAGAGTAGCGAGCGTGCTACGGCTCTGCTTCTCCTCCTCCCATACAAGGGCCATCAGCTGATTGGCGGCAGGGAGGAAGAGGAGGAGGGGCAGGAACCCCAAATGCTGGGGTAATAGGCAGGGGAGGAGGGAGCTTGCCTGCTTTGCAGCAGCAGCCGACAGAATCAAGCTTCTTCAACCTGGCCGGGGGAGCAAAGAAGAGCCGACCGGGTCAGGCAGGATTTTTAATGGCATGCTGCTGCCTTCCAGGGTCCTGGCCTGGGTTCGGCAGCGGGCTGAGCGGGGCCGGTGGCTGGGACCCGGCAGGCAGCAGCGTGCCATTAAAAATCAGCTCGCGTGCTATCTTTGGCACGCGTGCCATAGGTTGCCGACCCCTGGTCTAAAACTAGATTGTGAAAAAAATTATTGGTTAACATACTTTCTGGTTTACATATATGCAGAGCAGCTGGGGGGGGGATAAAAATATCTTGCTGCCACTTGACTTAATATTTCACAGGAGTATTTGTTATGAAAAGGTTATTTGAGAGGTATAAATAGACATCCATCTTAATGGCTTGCTAACTGTGAAACATTTAGCTTTGTAGGTTTCAGAGTAGCAGCTGTGTTAGTTTGTATTCGCAAAAAGAAAAGGAGTACTTGTGGCACCTTAGAGACTAACAAATTTATTTGAGCATAAGCTTTTGTGAGCTACAGCTCACTTCATCAGACTTCACCGATGAAGTGAGCTGTAGCTCACAAAAGCTATGCTCAAATAAATATGTTAGTCTCTAAGGTGCCACAAGTACTCCTTTCTTTTTGCGAATACAGACTAAACATATTTATTTGAGCATAAGCTTTTGTGAGCTACAGCTCACTTCATCAAACTTCACCGATGAAGTGAGCTGTAGCTCACGAAAGCTTATGCTCAGATAAATTTGTTAGTCTCTAAGGTGCCACAAGTACTCATTTTCTTTTCCCTTAGCTTTGTCGGAGCTGTTGCCCCCCACCACCTCAGAAGAGGGCACTGTGTGTGTTGAGGAGCAACCTTGTTGCCATCCCTTTATCAAGCTCTATCCTGTTGACATAGGCCTCCCTCCTCCTCCTCCTCCTCATTTGCGCAGGAGTTTCCTTCCAGGACTGAATCCAACTTGCTGGAAGACGGGTATTCAAATAAGCGGGGTGGGCATAGGGACCCAGCCTAACTAGAGAGTGGTGATGGGTCCTCACCAGTCCAGCAGACTTGTGTAGATGGAGCCATTCTGAAGGTCTGGGATTAGGAGGCAGCACTGTCCGGCAAGGGGGTCAGTACTCCCGGGGTCCAGACTTCTGCTCTCTGTTTGCAGAGTTTCTGCTTGGTCTCCCCAGCAGAGAAGGTCAACTGCTGGTTGATGGCTGCTGCAGCAGTGAGGTAGCAAGACTGGCAAGGAGCCTTGTTCCAGCAGTTGAGACGCGCTCTCATAGCCCCATCCGCTTCTGCCAGACAAAACCCGCTCCTGACACCAGTCCTTCAGTGTGGCCCCATCAGGCACTAGTGTCTGTTTGACAGCCTCGTCATCTGGGGGGCACATCCCACGTTTTACAAACCTCTGCTTCAGACCATTCCAGAGAAGCATCATGGTCTGGCTAGGTGTGGTTTAGTGTTCATATATATAGGTTCTGTGGCTCTGAGAAAACAACACACTTGAAGAAATATTCTGTTCAGGTGACATCATCTGTTTTAGAGGTTGTGTCCACTTAAAATGCTACAGCTGAACCACTGTAGATGCTACCTATGCTGACAGGAGGACTTATGCTGTTGGTGTAGGTCATCCCCTTCTCCAAGAGGCAATAGCTAGGTCGACAGAAAAATTCTTCTGTCGCTCTAATGCTGTCTATACCTGGACTGAGGCTGGTTTAAGTACACCACTCAGACATGGATTTTTATTTATTTATTTATTTATTTATTTTTGCGCCCCAGACTAGTGTAGTTAAATGGCTCTAATTTGCTGGTTTAGATCAGGCCTTAGTAATCTTCCCTTGAGGTAATGGAATTCCTCAAAATGAGTTTAGTACTTTCAGAGACCAACATACCTATTGATATGGGTATATATTTGCATTAGTGTGAATGTTCAATCATAGGAAGAAAGCATTGGCTACTGCCACTAAATGACATCCAGAAGCAGCAAAGTATTTAGTATGACACTGCCTCTCTCCATTCACTGTTGCAAATTATAGTAATTTTAAAATATCAACATATCTTCTCAAATGAAGCAGCGAGCAGCTATGGTAGCGATGTCAATTTTCCCCCCACATATTTTGCCTAGCCCTCTTCAGCTGATGTTACTTGTATGGATCTTGAACCAGCTGGTTTGTATCCAAGCCACAATCTCTTTGCCAGATATTGAAAATACTCTTAATCTTTGCCAAATTTTGATCTCTTAAAAATTGCTCTCTCCTGCTCCAGGAGAATGCATGTCAGACTGTCTTCAAAGTAATATTTACTTGTCTTGGTTCCAGCCATTTACCCAAGGAAAATTCTTAACTGAATTAATATACTGTGTATATATCAAATTTCATCTTGATGAGAATTAATTGGTCTCTATTGTAAATTTGAGGATTTAATTGAAATGGAACCTCTAGTATAACCATAGTATCGCATCAGTAACACAGTGCTGTTAAATTGTTGTTTGATGAAATATCTTACACTTCTAATACATACAACCATAATTCAATGCTTAAATTCAACACTTCTTGAAAATACAGTATATTCGCAGTATTTACTGTTATGTTTTCTTGTTAAATCAACATTATAATCCTGATTTCATTTCCCTCCAGATGATGAAACATTCCTGGGATAATTATAAGCGTTACGCTTGGGGATTAAATGAACTGAAACCCATATCTAAGCAAGGACATTCAAGCAATTTATTTGGTGAGTAGTTTGTGCTTTTGTACTTAGTGACATGTATGTTAGGACAGTAAATCAGTTGAGATTACAGTGGTGACACACGTGCTCTTCCCACCTGTTGTGATACTGATGTTTTTTGCATAGCATGTTTTGTATAGAAGTTAACAGACTCAGGTGACAGCTGCATTGCCTTGTCACAAGTTATGTCATCTTGCTCCTCTGAATGAAGATAATGAAGCATATCGGCGCTATACCATATGTAGGTAATTGCACTGTATTACACTACTCTGATTCAGATCATTTTGTCACTTCACACGGTAAAAACATAAAATAAAAATTAAATGCTAGACCAGGGATGTAGCTACCACTTCCATGGAAGTGCAAAAGTGGAACTTTCACAAGTATCTTCTGGCGAGGAGTGAGTGACCTGTTAATTGACTTGAAATGGAGAAAATCTTTAACTGGTTTTCTCTTCTGTGAGATGGCCTATAGTTGTACCCATAAAAGTTGCAAGAGATATAGCTATAAATTAGTGTTAAACATTTCTTCAGCCTGAAATTAGCTTGAAAAAGTTACAGCTGTATTGGAAGAAGAATGTGGACAGAAGACTAACGTAATGCATTTTAGAAATATCTTTTAAATTTAGAAATAGTGCAGAACTGAATAGAAGAGCAGCAGCTAAAGGGGAGGTTGAGTGGAGAACACTGCTTCCTTATGCACAGATTAATGTTGGCTTAAACCTTGTACAACAGGAAAAAACCTGAAAATTGCTCATTAGAATATAGAAACTATTGTTAGCCTTCATTATTCTAGAAATAGTAAAAGTGAACTAATTTCCTGATGCCTGCAAGATGATGCATAGCTTTGATTTATTAGAAAGATACAAAAATATGTGAAGCTATGTGCATGTGTATGGTATGTAAAAATAGGACATTTATATTTTGCTTGAAATGGGAGAAGAGATGAAAAATTGTATTATCTTTGGATGACCCTCCTAAAACAGCCTAAGTGCAGCATTTAGCAAATCCTCAAGAATTAAGTATTCTAGTGCAACATTTCCAGAAGTTCAGGTTTTACTCCCCTCAGGATTCAAAGATCATGAGTGTGTGTGTGTGTGAGAGGGGAGGAATGGGGTGGTGGGAAGGGGGGTGAGAACATAAGAATGTCCATAATGGGTCAGACCAATGGTCCGGCTAGCCCAGTACCCTTTTTTCTGACAGTGGCCAGGGCAATTGAGTGATCCATCTCCTGGTGTCCAGTCCCAGCATCTGGGAGTAAGAAACTTAGGGACACCCAGAGCATGGGGTTGCATCTCTGATGATCTTGGTAAATAGCCATTGATAAACTTCTCCTCCGTGAACTTATCTAATTCTTCTTTGAACTCTGTTATACTTCTGGCCTTCACAACACCCCATGGCAACGAGTTCCACAGGTTGACTGCGCGTTGTGTGAAGATGTATTTCCTTCTGTTATGTGAAGAGGTAAATAACACTTCCCTATTCACTTTCTATACCCATTTATGGTTTTATAGACACCTATCATATCTTCCCTTTGTTCACCTTGGAAAAGAGACCACTGTCCCAGTTTTTGAATCTCTCCTCATCTGGAAGCTGTTCCGTACCCCTAATAATTTTTGTTGCCCTGCTCTGTACCTTTTCCATTTCTAATATCTGTTTTTTGAAATGGGGAAACCAGAACTGTATGTGGTATTCAAGGTGTGGGCGTACCATGGATTTATATAGTGGCATTATATATTCTGTCTTCTCAATCCCTTTCTTAATGGTTCCTAACATTCTGTTAGCTTTTTTGGCTGCCACTGCACATTTGAGGAGATTTTTTCAGAGAACTGTCTACAATGACTCCAAGATCTTTCTTGAGTGGTAACAGCTAATTTAGACCCCATCATTTTGTGGGTATAGCTGAGATTGTTTTCCAATGTGCATTACTTTGCATTTATCAACATTGAATTTCATCTGCTATTTTGGTGTCGTCCAGTCACCCACTACTGTGAAAACTCTTTGCAACTGTTCATAGCCTGCTTTGGACTTCACTATCTTGAGTAATTTTGTGTCTGCAAATTTTGCCATCTCACTGTTTATCCCTTTTTCCAGATCATTTATGAATATGTCTAATAGCACAGGTCCCAGTAGAGACCCCTGGGGGACACCACTATTTACTTCTCTCCCTTCTGAAAACTGACCATTTATTCCTACCCTTTTTCCTGTCTTTTAACCAATTACCGATCCACGCGAGGACCTTCCCTCTTATTCCATGACTGCTTATTTTGCTTAAGAGCCTTTGGTGAAGGACCTTATACTCGGACTTTCAGAAAACCTTTGACACTATCTGCACTGGATCACCTTTGTCCACGTTTGTTTGACCCTCTCAAAGAATTCTAATAGATTGGTGAGGCATGATTTCCCTTCACAAAAGTCATGTTGACTCTTCGCCAATAAATAATGTTAATCTGTTTGTGTGATGATTTTCTTCTTTACTATAGCTTTCACCAATTTGCCTGAAAGTTAAGCTTACCGGCCTGTAATTGCCAGATGGCATCTGGAGCCTTTTAAAAAAATTGGTGTTACATTATGTATCTTCCTGTTACTTGGTACAGAGGCTGACTTAAGTGATCGGTGATATACCACAGCTAGTAGTTCTACAGTTGCATACTTCGGTTCCATCAGGACTTTTGCATGAATACCATCTGGTATTGGTGAGTTAGTACTTTTCAGGTTATCAGTTTGTTCCAAAACTTCGTCTATTGATGCCTTAATCTGGGACAGTTACTCAGATTTGTCACCTAAAAATGGCTCAGGTGTGGGAATCTCCCTCCCATCCTCCTGTAGTGAAGATTGATCAAAGGCTTCATTTAGCTTCTCTGCAACAGCCTTGTCTTTCTAGACTGCTCCTTTGGCACCTCCATCATCCAGTGGCCTCACTGAGTGTTTGACAGGCTTCCTGCTTCTGATATACTTCAAGTATTTTTTGCTGTTTAGTTTTTGTCTTTCGCTAGTTGCTCTTCAAATTCTTTATTGGCCTTTTGACTTGCCAGAGTTTATGCTGCTTTCTATTTTCTTCAGTAGGATTTGACTTCCAATATTTAAATTTTCTTTTTGTCTCTAACTTCCTCTTTTTACTTTGTTTAGCTATTGCATTTTTTGATCCTCTTACTGTGTTGTTTAATTTTGGGTATACATGTAATTTGAGCCTCAATTATGGTGTTTTGTAATAGTTTCCATGCAGTTGGGTGGCATTTCACTCTTGTCACTGTTCCTTTTAATTTCTGTTTTTAACTAGTGTCCTCATATTTGTGTGGTTACCCTTTTTGAAGTTAAATGCTACTGTGGGAGCTGCTTTGGTATATTTTAAATGTTATGTTAAATTTAGTTACGCTATTGTTATTACTGAGTGGTTCAGCTATATTCACCTCTTGTGTGCCACTTAAGACTAAATCAAAAAATGCCTCTCTCCTTGTGAGTTCCAGAACTAGCTGCTCCAGAAGCAGTCATTAATAGTGTCTAGAAATTTTATTTGTGCATCCCATCCTGAGCTGACATGTACCTAGTCAATACGGGGACAGTTGAAATCCCTCACTATTACTGAGTTTTCTATTTTTATAGCTTCTCATCTCCCTGAGCATTTCATAATAACTTTCATCCATAGAAATTCCATGGTACAGTTTGATTCATTTAAGATTTTTACTGAATTTGACTCTATATGCATGCTTTCATTTATAGTGCCACTCCCCCACCAGAACAACCTACTCTGTCATTCACATATATTTTGTCCCAATATCATCATACCATCAGGTTTCTGTGATGCCTACTATATCAATATCCTCGTTTAATACCAGGCACGCAAGTTCACCCATCTTAGTATTTAGACTTCTAGCATTTGTATATAAGCAGTTATAAAATGTATCAATATATAGTGGTCTGCCTTCATGTGATGTAATCTTTCTGTTTCTCTTCAGCTACTACCTGTACTTTATCAGTTTCTATCCTATTCTTTTTAATAGGATATAGAGAATCCCCATTAAAAGATCCTCCCCTAAGGGATGTCTCTGTCCCAAAAGGTGTGCTCCTCTGCACTTGTCAGCTTCCCCGACCCCCCTTAGTTTAAAAAAACTCCTCTATAGCCTTCTTAATTTTACATGTCAGCTATCTGGTTCTGTTTTGGTTTAGGTGGAGCCCATCCTTCCTGTATAGGCTCCTCCTTTCCCAAAAATATTCCTCAATTCCTAATAATCCTAAAAACTTCCTCACTATGTCATAGTTTCATCTGCATGTTGAGATCCTGCAGTTCTGTCTGTCTAATTGGACACATGCATGGAACTGGAAGCATTTTGGAGAATGCTACCATGGAGGTCCTAGGCTTTAATCTCATATCTAGCAACCTAAATTTGGACTCCATGTCTCAAGAGATCAGCAACCTTTGCACCTAGCAGGCAGTTTACCTCCATGAGGGTCTCCAGGTGATTACAAACAGTTATTTATATTTCCTATGATCTCCCATTACTATTACCAATCTTCCTAATAACTAGGGTCCCCTCATCCAGAGGGGTGTCCTCAGTGTGAGAGGATACTATGACATCATCTGGAAGGAGAGTCTCAACTATGGGATCATTTCCTTCCACTCCACTTTGATGTACTCCAATTAGAATTTTTTCCTCCTCAACAGCACAGAGGCTGTCAGAGTAGGGGTCGGACTTCTCCACTTTGTCCCAGAAAGTCTTTCTTCCTTAGCTCCTCCAGTTCAGCCACTCTGGCCTCAAGAGCTCCTGCGTGGTCTTTGAGGGCCATGACTGCTTTCACCAAATGCACACACATGCCACTTGCCAACATATGTGAGTGAAAAGAGAAATTGGAAACTATCCAAGTGTCAGCAGTGCAACCGTATCTGAGGGTATGTCTTCATTGCAGAGTCAGCCCAGACTCTTAGGTTTTTAGCTCAACCGCATCCACATACAAAAACCTCTATCTGGGTTTGGAGGTGCATTTAAGCCTAAACTGGAATCCACCCAC